CCACCAGAAAGCGGAAGGAGGGGCAAAAGATGCATTCACGAACCCCACCCCGGGTGGGAAATCACAGCGACCACAAAGATACCCTTCCAACAAAACCACCCGGTTACATCAAGAAGAATGGTCTAAAATAACTTCAGCCACAATCAAGACTCTCATTAGAAGCTATAGGAAGTGTTTAGAGGCTGTTATTTCTGTGAAAGGAGGAGCTACTAAATACTGAGTTAAGGGTTTTTTATAGTGCCCAAATTTATGCACCTGCCTAATTTAGTTTAACCAATTATTGCACACATTCTATAAATTATATAAACTTCATTTCACTTCTCAATTATCACTGTGTTTGTCCCCTATATGACATATTTAATTGATATTCTTAATCCAAACAATAAATGATTTATAAAGGTAAATCAGGAAAATTAACAAGGGTGCCCAAACTTTTTCATATGACTTTAAATATTTGTTTTGTTAGTGGTAATAATACCCAAATATAAGAACAGAATTAGCAGAAACACCATTTCACAGGCTGGAACTTTTCACTTCCTGTTTTCCTGTCCTGTCTGCTCGTCTGGTTTCTGTCAGCAGCTGTAGCTCTGCTTCCTGGGACATAAAWCAATCTATTCCTCACATTTTACCTCTCAAAGAAACAAATGTTTTTATCTGTGATCTATGRAGTATTTTGAGTTGTGCTGACTTRCATTGGCACATTTATATTTYACATGTGTTGAAGTTTAGTTATTGACTGTAAATCTGACACAGACTGAGGTTTGAAGCAGGAGAATAGAGGGGAACTAAACACTAGAGGGCGCTGTGCACAAACTAATCCAACTACTGTTGTATTCTGCAATGAATATCATCCATCAACCAGATTTAAAGATAAACTTTAGTGCTTTAGCTTTAGCTTTCACTAAATTTATTTYAATGTAGCTTCTTTATTGTTAGCAGAACTAAATAAACTGTGTAGCAGTTTAGGTGTTAGGGGAGCTAATGTTTTGGTTACCAYTGGATTAAAGGAACCCAAGCTAAAACAGAAATCAACTCTTTGCAGGGAGAAAMAAAGTATTGATCACAAGTGCCAGTATTTCCAATAAAAACACAAGAACTGTGCTTAGGAAAGAAGTGAGGCAGCTGCTGCTGACTGGGGTGTTGCTACATATGTTGATGTTACATCATGTTTTTGTTGTTCCTGCTGCCACACAAGGCTGAACAGAAAGTTTCTGTGTTTTTAATGAAACCTACAGCAAACCGAGATGACTTGGCTTTTRAAATGTAACAATGGTGAGAAAATAAGCTTTGTTTTCTTGGTCTGATTTCACTGTTTTCATGTTGTGTCCAGCTTGGCTGAAAATATCTGATGTGTGAGCCTAAGTGAGAATATCTCTTCTGCTCCTCTCATGGAGTCCCACAGGGATCAGTTTCAGGTCTCGTCTTTTGTCTTCATGTGCTTTTACTTGTTTTTTGTTTGTTTGTTTGTTTGTTTTATTAAGTATAACATTGAAATCCTCTGTTATGTGGACAACTTTCAATGATATACATAATAAAACAAACAAACAAAACAAGGGACATATATTCTGCAGGTCCAGCACTCAAATGACTCAGAGACATTAAGGCTATGATGGTTGGAGTTCTGGTTTTTGGCAGCTCTATTAAGACCCTCTACAGATTAGGGGTGTAAGAAAAAATTGATACACTGAAATATTGCGATATTTCATTTCTCGATACTGTATCGATATTCTAAAGCCCTGTATCGATTTTTAATTAAGGTTTAAAATGTCAACCTTCTTGCCAACCGTTCATTTTTATGTTGTAGTTCAGCTTCTGACCACTAGTTGGCAGCAGTGAGCCAGCCATTTGGCTCCTCTTCCTCTTGAGCACCAGAGAGTAAGGGTAGCATTAGCATTGTAAGTAAACATTAGCTTTTCTTTTTTTTCAGTTAGAGGTTTTTATTAAATAGAATTTTTGGACAAAAAAACCGCAATACATCGCAATATATTGCCTTGCTTACAGTAT